GCACGCCGGTTGTCCATGGCATAGCAGGCGTGGCACAATCTCGACACCATACGCGGTGCGCAGGGGGTGGTCTCCGAGCGCGGCAGCAACGCGCGCCAGTCGTCCAGAGCACAGCAGGCGTGGCACTTTCTCGACACTATCAGGGGTGCGCAAGGGCTGGTCTCTCTGAGCGCGGCCGCTATGCGCGCCGGTCGTCCATGGCATAGCAGGCGTCGCGTATCTTCGACACCATACGGGGTGCGCAAGGGGTGGTCTTTGAGCGCGTATGCGCGCCAGTCGTCCATGGCATAGCAGGCGACGCAAATGCTCGACACTATACGGGGTGCGCAGGGGGTGTTCTCTGAGCGCGGCCGCTATGTGCGCCGGTCGTCCAGGGAATAGCAGGCGAGGCACTTGCTGGAAACCAGAAGGGGGTGCGCAGGGTGGGTTTTTTGATCGCGGCCGCTATGCGCGCTGGTCGTCCAAGCATAGCAGGCACGGCACTTTCTCGACACCATACGGGGTGCGCAGGTGGTGGGGTTTCCGAGGGCGTTGCGCGCGTGGCATTTTCCCGACCAGACTAAGGCGGCGTCACCCGATCAGAATTGGCCAGTGAGCCCCGATCCGAAGACCTCGGTCCAGGCCCTGGACAGGCAGCGCACGTGGGAGACAATGATTCGGGGATGGACAGAACCTCCTTTAGCAAAACGTGGTTTAGTGAAAACGACCTCGGGCCCAAACCTGGCGGGCGCAAGCCTGGAAAATGAGGGCCGCGGCGCCCTCTCGAGAACCGAAAACAGGAAATTCAGTAAAAGAATTCTGTCCACCCACGATTGATGCAAGTGTGGGTAAAAGATATCCGCATATCATCAGGGAATCCAAAGCGAAGACCCGAACCCGCGTGGGTGCAGAGAAACCGTTAGAATGGTCCTGGCATGCGCAAGGGCGTTAAAATGATCCCGACATGCGCGCGCAAGCGGCCCTCTTGGTCGCAGTTGTTGAAAGTATTCGAAGAACCTGCGGCTTTCTTCCGAATTCGCAAATGCGCGCAGATGTGTTTGGAAACTCATGCTGCAAAACCATTGTTTTCGTATGTGTTCAGGAACATCCATCTTGACATCCTTACGAAACCTGAAGTTATTGAAGAATTTCGGCATGCGCGCGCGACGACGCGCGCGTGTCGACTTCGTCACGTGTTTTGCGAAGGATGTTTGTAAGTTAATGGTTTTTGCTAAACGAATGCGCGCGCATAGCATTATTTGACAGGGATGAGGCTGGGATGGTATGAATTCATATGTAAGGGATGAGGCTGGGATGAGGCTGGGATGGCTGGGTTGACAGGGATGAGGCTGGGATGAGGCTGGGATGGGATGAGGCCTGGATGTCCCAGGGCGTGCCCATATTTCCCGAGTTGGTTGATAGACTTTTAGTTCCTTTTAAAAAAGGAGACTCAACATAATGTAATTTTGTGGTGCAACTTATGCGGCGAAATCTATGTGGTGCAGTATGTACTGTGAAACATGCTGCGCAATCTACGTTGCGCAACTTATTCCGTGCAACACATGTGGTACAATCTGTATGGTGCAACCTATGTTGTGCAATCTCTGCCGTGACGAGGCGGCGACGGGTCAGCGACGGCGACCACATAGCCGCCAGACCGGCGCACAGGCCCAGACGACGGACTGCGACGAGGCGACGACGGGGCGGCGACGGCGACTACATAGCCGCCAGACCAGCGCCCAGGCCCAGTTCCTTAGAAAAGAAATAAGAACCCTAAGGACAAGCACTGTCTGGGGAATATGTATATATACACACATATACATATACATGCTAGAACCACGCGCGCGCTTCGCGCGCGCTTCGGATCTAGCACGCCCCAGCCCTTGACAAGCTGACTCGCACAGTTCTTGGGGGGCATCTCGGGGGCCTTGCGAGCGCTATCGGGAGGGTCTGAAGGTTCCTTTATTTGACAGCCCGTGTCATAAAGTTCCCCAGTGGCGTCTGGGGGGGGGGGGCTCTTGGGGGCCTTTGTGGGGCTTCCTGGGAGCTTTCTGGGGGACTCTTGGGGCGTCCTGGGGCGCTCTTCGGCCCACTTGGACCCTCTTGATAGCCTCTTGAGCCGTCTTGGGATGATCTTGGGGACCTCTCGAGCCGTCTTGGACGCTGTGAAAACCCAAAAGGCGAATATGGGTAAAATATACGCAGTCGGAAAGGAATGGGGCCAGTTTTGCCTCTTGGGGCCCTCTTGAGAGGCCTCTTGGGGGCCGCTTGGGGCGTCGTGGGGGCTTCTTGGCGGTGTTGGAAGCATCTCTGAGGGCATCTCGAGCCATCTTGGCCGTCTCGGAGGGCATCTAAGTCGTCTTGGAGCGGGAAAGAAAACTCCTGGAGTCCCGACACCGCCATGGGGGAATGAGCCTGCCCCCCCCCCCGGGGCCTGGAACGCGTATGTATATATATATATATGTGCATGTATATATATGTGTGTTTATGTATACAAACATACATGCATACCTACCCACCGACCTACATATATATATAGCATATATACGTATACATTTACAGTTACACAACTTTATACAAAAATATGTATATATGTATACATATATACATACATTACAGTAAATTTCATTACATTACATTACATCACATTGCATCACAATACATGGCATGACATGACATGACATTACATGACATTACAATACATACATACATGCATACAAACATAAATATATACATGCATACACACATACATACATAAATACATACATACATACATACATTACAATACCTTACATTACATTACACTACATTACATTACATTACATTACAATACGTTACATTACAATACGCTACGTTACATTACATGAAATTACATACATACATGCATACGTGCATGTATGCATACATACATACATACATACATACATACATGCATGCATGCATGCATGCATACACACATGCATACATACCTGCATGCATGCATGCATACATACATACATACATACACACACAGACACACATACATACATACAGACATAGATGTACACAAAGTCAGAAACTGTTGCTTAGCGTGTCGCGGCGGGTGCCCCGGCGACACGCTGTGCCTTGCGGGCTGACAGCGTGTCGCTTTGCCTCGCTGGGCGCGGGGCCAGGAAAGGCTCAGGATGCTGACGCTCAGAGACCACGTGGTTGGCGTGTCGCGCCGAAGCGTGGTGGGCCAGAAGCGGTAGCACGACACGCTCAGCAAAGGTTCCTGACCGTACACATATATCATTCCCCAAACAGTGCGTGCACTTAGGGATTCTTGATTGTGTTCCAAAATTACTGGGACCCAGTGGCGGTCCGGCCAGCTCGTCGCCGCCCGTTGCCACGTTGCGTTGCATTGCGTTCCATTGCTTTGCACTGCTTTGCATTGCTGTGCTCTGATTTGCATTGCGTTGCATGTCTTTGCAATGCTTTGCACTCCTGTCCATTGCTCTGCACTGTGTTATACGTTGCGCTACGTTGTCTTGCAGTGCTTTGCGCTGCATTGCATGGCTTTTGCGTTGCCCTGCATTGCTTTGCAATGCGCTGCATTGAGTTGCATTGCCTTGCATCGTATGGAGTGCTCCGCACTGCTTAACACTGCGGGGCCGAGGGCAAGGACGGTGCGGCGCGGCGCGGCCTCTGACGCACTCGCCCTCATCGGCACTGTGGACTGCTTTTTTACCATCGGCATCACCACCACACACCACCCACCACCCACCATCGTCATCGCCGTCGTTCGATTGGCTCTTCCACCTCCTGGCCCACCTCGCTTCCCTCACCGCCCAATCCCTCCTCATCTCTGTCTCCTCCTCCTCCTCCTCCTCCTCCTCCTCCTCCTCCTCCTGCGTTAGATTGCTGTGAATTGCATTGCATTGCATTGCCTTGCATTGCTCTGCATTGCTCTGCATTGCTCTGCAATGCTCTGCAATGCTTTGCATTGCTCTGCATTGCTTGGCATTGGATTGCACTGCTTCGCTACATGAACTGCACCCACATGGGTTGCACCACTAGAGTGCACCACATTGATTACACCACCTATCTTGCACCACATATATTGCAATCAATCAGTGTTTGGGCCCACGCTGGATAACACGTGCAAACGCAATCGTGGAATAAAAGTCCTCGAACCTCCATCCTCCATTCGGCGGCGAGCCCAAGGGGAAGTGCGAAGGGGCGGGCCTTCTCAGAAGGCTCAGAAAATTTCTAAAAAGGCCGGAGGGCTTCTGAGAAGCCCCGCCGCCTTCTGAGAAGGTCTTCTCCTGCTCACTTCACCCCTCGCTCGCCGCCGATCCATACCCGCCCCTCGACAACGACGCCGACGACGACGACGGCGACGACGGCGACGACAGTGATGACGACGAAGACGACGACGACGACGACGACGACGACGACGGCGGCGACGACGACGACGACGACGACGGCGACGACGGCGGCGACGACGACGGCGACGGCGACGGCGACGGCGACGGCGACGGCGACGGCGACAGCGACGACCACGGCCACGGCCCCGGCCACGGCCACGGCCACGGCCCCGGCCACGGCGACGGCGACGGCTGCGGCACAGGCCGCGGCGGCGACGGCAACGGCGTCGGCGAAGGCGACGACGATGGCGACAACGACGACGACGACAAGGAGGAGGAGGAGGAGGAGGGAAGGGGAGGGTTGAGGGAGGGGAGGGAGGAGGAGGGAAAGGAGGGCGGAGGGGAAGGAGGAAGAGAGGGGGGCGGAGGAGGAAGCAGAAAAAGAGAGGGAGGAGGGAGAAGAAAGAAGGCGGGAGAAAGGAGAATAGAGGAGAGAGCTCAGGAAGGAGAAGGAAGGAGTGCAGGGAGGAGAAGGGGAGGGGGAGGAACAGGAGGCAGGGCGTAGAGGAGGAGGAGGAGGAGGAGGAGGAGGAGGGCGGAGGAGTGAGGGAGGAAGGAGAGGGAGGACGAGGCAGGAGGGAACAGTCGCAGACGGAGGAGCAGTGGTCCTCCCCCCCCGCCCTCCCCCAGGGTGTCCAGGGGCAGCCAGATGGACTTCGCGTACCTCTTTGCGATCCTCTGGCGATCCATCACGAGAGTGCCTGAGCCGCGGGCAACCCCCGAGCAGAAGGCACTGAGAACCAGCCCAAACACCCTCGCGCTGTGAAAACATCACGACGAAAGGCGTTTCGCTATCTAACCGTCAAAAAACGACTCAGGATGAAAAGCCGGTCCCAGGGAAGGGGTCCAGACCTCTGGGGGTCGACGCTGTGAAAAAACTCACGACGTCGGGGGTCTGGGACCACATGCAGCCGCGAGCAGCGCAGAACGCGGCCCTCGCATCGTGGGCATCGCTCGCGGCCCGAGTCCCTCGAGGGGGGGCTCTCTGTGAGGCCACGACGCGCGCGAGGGGTGTGCCAAGATGGCACGGGGGGCGGTGTGCGAACACGGGACGACGACGACGACGACGACGACGACGACGACGACGACGACGACGACGACGACGACGAGGGCGACGACAACGACGACGACGACGACGACGACGACGAGGAGCACGACGACGGCGTCGACGGCGACGACGACGACGATGAAGACGACGACACGACGACGACGACGACGACGACGACGACGACGACGACGACGACGACGACGACGACGACGACGACGACGACGACGACGACGACTAGCGCGACGACTAGCGCGACGACGATGACGACGACGACGACGACACTGCTCGAGAGATCCTCGAGAGCACGGGGCACGGCTCCAGGCTGCGTGTGTGGACATGCCCTGGCAATGGAAGCACAGGTGCGCATCGGCGCGAGCCGCAAACCTGCCGCAAAAACCGTCGCCACCTCAAGCAGCTGGGTCCGCTGGACCAACCAACCAACCAACCAACCGAGTCGTGCAGGCAACCAAAAGGCAGGCCAGCGGCAGGGGTCGAAGCCCTTCAGATCATCGGGGCCCTTCACTACTATGCTGTGACATGTACTGCTTCGGTTGCGACAGTATGCGGGCTCGCCTCCGCCAACACACATCGGTACAAGCTCATTCCTGCACTGTGCGTCAAAGATGCGGCAAGAACACAACACGCACCCCTCCCTTCCAGTGTGATCGACGTAGCCAGTTACGAAGCACACCGCCATGTTGATGGTCCAGTATACCCGTCCCATCCAAGACGGAGCTGACGTCGTGCTAAAGAAGTCGGGAGGATCGAAGAAAGCAAGCGGTACTGCAACACAGTCCTCCCCCGTACAGGTATCCACCCGTCTCACTCGTCATGGCCCCCCTCT